AAAAAAAAAAAGATTCAATGGTTATTACCACTGCTCTTGGAATTAATTCAGTCTAAGACTTATTTCTAGCTCTAACGCATAAAAGTTTAATTGAGAAAGTATAGCCAATTCAAACATCATTTTGAATTTCAACTGTTTGTTTTATTTCAGAGCCATCGGACACATCCCTAGTACCTTAATTTATCCATTTTTAACTTTCATTTTGCTCTCAATCTGCATTTCCTACTGGGTGGTGACAGCAATGTATCCTTTGATAACTGACCTCTTTAAACCTTGGAGCCACATTACTATTCATTAACCAGGAGTTTGTGTCCAGTGTTTTCTATTCCTGGAAAGATTAGGAATGTCCGAAAGAAAACTGGATTTTTTTTTTCCAAGCCCTAAAAATGTTTCAGTTTACTGATTGCATTTCCCTTCTAATAGGTCATATGGTAGATTTGTTTCATTTTGTTTTCTCATATGATGCTTCTCCTTGGCAAGGAGGTTCCTGTGTATTCTGCTGTTTTTAAGGGGTTACTCAGTGTAGCTGGCCCATGTTACATTAATTTATGCCTGAAGATGGAGGAATATTATTAAAATATTAGAAGTTTTTTGAAGTTAATCTCTCCATGGACTTTGAGTTATCTGTATTATTTTCTTGTCCATTTATTTTCAACCTATCAGCAAATAGTTTATCCTTAGTGCAACTCATTCAGTTTCTTGGCTACATCAGGGGTACCTGTATACAAAGTCATAGCCCCTGAGGGGCAATGTATACATGAAAATGAAACCTGTGACCCAGAGGTAAGTAAAAGAAACTCTTTCCTGTACTTACTTTAATATAGAATCTACTGCATTTCCTCTTGCAGTTGTTTTTGGAATCGCCCTGAGCAGAGATTGCAGCATTGATGGGAATCACTGTGTACCATAGCGGAGGGTGGGTCAGGAGAGCATTGAAAACAATGGGCAGAATGGAGAGAAGGTACTATAATTATTTCCTGAGCTTGCTTGTCTTACCATATACCCAAGAAGTAGGTATAGGCAACAACAACACTAATAAATGTGAAATTTTAGTGGGTGCAGAGTGATGAGCATATGATGGAAAATAAGATACTTTCCAGAGTTCATTAAAGAATTATATAAAGTGATGTGATAGAAAATATACAGCAAAAGCTAATGCAGAAAAAACAGGACATGCAATTGGTGGGCTAAAAAAGAGGAAAAGGCAGGGAGGTGTTGTCTTGCAATGATATTTAATATTATATTCTTCTTTTGTGTTTTTTTTCTGAGTACAGATTTTTAATACATCTGAAATTGCCAAAGCTTGCCCTGGGGCTCTGTGTACCTTTGCTTTCTATGGTGGAAAGAGCTTGTACCATCAATACATCCCCACCTTCCATGTATACAATCTATTTGTCTTTCTCTGGCTTATAAACTTTGTCATTGCACTGGGTCAGTGTGCCCTTGCCGGTGCCTTCGCTACTTATTACTGGGCCATGAAAAAACCTGATGACATCCCACCACATCCACTTTTTACTGCATTTGGACGAGCCATACGGTGAGCTCTGTGTTGAACCCTACACCTGTCTCCGTTATATTTAGTGTGCTTGTAATTCAGTCTTGGATAGTTAATTCAACTGTCAAGATACAAATGAGGCTGAAGGTAAGATCCAGGATTCATGGATGCCCGCTGGTTCTGCCTGGTTTTGTAGCCACAGTTTTTACAATCCCTACCCAGGCCAATATCCTTCTAAATGCCATAGGTGAGGGGAAGAAGTAGAGGCGGCCACCAAATTAAAGATCAAGGATTAACTTGGCTCTATTATTTCCAGTGATCAGCTCAAACATCCTATTTTATGATGACAGGCTGTTGGTGTCCTTTATGTTAATGAAAAGCAAGACAGATATATGTGGTTTAAAATCCTCTATAGAGACCTTTATCAATGTGAATAAAAGTGTACAAAATGCTCTTTCTCATTAATCCTTCTTCAGGTCCCTTTTACCTGTGAAAATTGTTCAACTAGCATCCTTTTAGTTAATAGTAAAGATACTTTAATTTTTTTCTCATTTTATTTTTTGCCCCAGATATCACACAGGATCCCTAGCATTTGGATCTTTAATTCTTGCATCAATTCAAATGTTTAAAATGATCCTACAGTACGTGGACCAACGTCTTAAAAGTAAGATTGCAAAATTTATCTCAGACTTCCCTATCTCTGTGAAGAGAATAGATTGGGGCAGGGGGTGGGGGAAGACATGATGACTGCAACTTAGACTAGGGCAGTAAGGATGGAAGGAGGCAGGTTTGAATATGTTTTGAAGGAAACCCTGACAGAACTTGCTGAGGGAGTGGATGAATGGTGGTGAAGAAAACAGAGAAAACGTACATGATCCCATTTATAAGATGTGGAAGCCAGGAAAAGCAAGTTGCAGAAAGGAGGTTAAGAATTCTGTTTTGACATGTTATTATTGAGAAGCATGGTGGAGATGTCAGGTAGGCGGTTCTAAGCTGAGAACTCAGGTCAGGTTAAGTTTAAAATATAAATGTAGATGCCATTGGCATAAGTCTTCATACATGACACATATATTTTACAAACACATAAATTCTGCTTAAGATGCACCTTACAAGATTTTTTTATTAATAGTCAAAACAATCTTGAGAAAAACAACAAAGTTGGAGGACTCATACTTCCTGATTTCAAAACTTATCACAAAACTACAGCAATCAAAACAGTGTAGTACTGGCATAAGGACAGACATATAGACCTGGAAAAGAATGAGATCCTAGAAATAAAACCTCACATATAATACCACTCAATAGTGAAAGGTCAATCTTTTCCACTAATGGTGCTGGGAAAACTGGATATCCATCTGCAAAAGAGTGAAGTTGGATTCTTACCTTATACCATATATAAAAATTAAGCCAAAATGGATCAAATACCTAAACATAAGAGCTAAGACTATAAAACTCATAGAAGAAACATAGGAGAAAATCTTCATGACTTTGGATTTGGTGATGATTTCTTGGATATCACACCAAAAGCATAGGTAACAAAATAAAAAATAAATTGGACTCCATCAAAATTAAAAACATTTGTGCTTCAAAGGAAAAGGACACTATCAAGAGAGTAAAAAGACAGCCCACATAATGGAAGAAAATATTTGCAAATCACATACCAGTAAGGGATTAATATCCAGAGCATTTAAAAAACTTCTACAACTCAACAGCAAAAAAGTAAGCAACCCAGTTCAAAAATGGGCAAAGAACTTGAATAGACATTTCTACAAACATGATATACAAATGGCCAATAGGGACATAGAAAGATGCTCCATGTCACTAGTCATTACAGAAATGCAAATCAAAACCACAAATGAAATACCACTTCATATCCATTAGAATGGCTATTATTTAAAAAAAAAAAAAAAAGAAAAGAACAAGTGAT